CACCACCACCACCACCACCACCACCACCACCACCACCACCACCACCACCATCATCATCATCATCATCATCATCATCATCACGACCTCCACAATCTCTGCCGACACCACCTCCACCATTATCACGACCACCACCACCATCTCCTCCACCACCACCACCACCACCAACGCATCCGCTTTACCCTTCTTCTTTCTCCATCCAGGTCCTGGACGACGAAGATCAGAGTATTTGGCCGCTGTCCATGGTGACCGTCACTGTGAAGCTCACGCGGCGGCCGCTTCTCGTCTTGACGGCCAACACAGCGGCGTCGTCGTTGTCGTCTGCCGCCGCTTGCCCCTCGTCCTCCAAGTGCGCACCCGATGCATCGCGTCTGTCGCCGTCATCGTCATCGCACCATCATCATCGTCCACCTCTCGTTGTCGACGCCTCAACCGACCTCCGCTGCACCGACAAGGATGCTTCATGGTACCTTTCAGGCGACGCCGCCGCTGCCACCATGGGAGGACTCTATCGGGGCGGCGGTGGTGGTGGCGGGGGCGGCTTCGATGACCTTGGTCACTTCAGCAACGAAGGGGTACGCCTGGTGGTGATTGTTTCGCTGATAACTAAGTAGTGGTGCTTGTGCATACCGATCACGTTGTCTAGATAAGGGTTGTGTTTGAATTTGCGCGGCTGACCCCGCTATCTACGTTCTGATTGGCTAGTGCTCAAGGTCATCTACCGGTCAACCAATAGGAGTATCGTCTTGGATTTAGGTGCTGGATGACGCGGGTGAGGGTGGCGGCGTGGCGCGTGGAAAGCCGTCTGGACCGCCGGTGTGGGATAAATCGCGTCAACGGGGAAAGGGGAAGGGCGGAAAAGGTGGGAAAGGCGGCAAGGGTGGAGCCAATCGGAGAGCTGGACAACACCAGAAAGGTGGAAACGTGTCTAAAAAGCCACAGCAACAGCTAGCAACCGTAGAGCCGATTGGTGATGTCGAGGCCACCACAAACAGTAAGTCCTTCACGCCACAACTGTCTCGCTATTCGTACCTGTTGACCAATCGGATTTTAGGTGAGGGCGCGTTGCCCAATGGACAAGCCAGCGGTGATCATTCGGGCGCAGTTGTCGAGGAGGAGAAGCTGCAGGAGACTGTTGAGCGACGAGTTGAAGACGAGGCGCGAAAACGCGAATTAAACCGAGTGCTTGAATCGAAGCCACGATGCAACCACCTTGTTCACTGTCCCTTCTTCCCATGCGTGCGTTTTTTGCAATATTCATCCTACTACCTTTTTAAAAGTAGTAGATGGTTTTTTCTTTGCCTTGCAGGAAAGATATGAAGGCTGGTGGGTGTACCTGGTTGATAGGAAAACCCGCCAACTCATTACGAAACCGGTTTTTACCAATTCGCTGGAAACGGAAGAGGAGGTAAAGCATTTTGTTTTCACGATTTCCGGTAGTTTGTTTGATGTCAGCCAATGCGATTTCAAATCTGTTTGGTTTTAAGATGAATTTGAAATTCGTGGCTCCGTCGTATCCTGGCAATTACCTCTACACCCTCTGCGTTCGGTCTGACAGCTACGTGGACTCGGATTTCTTCGAAAATGTTCCTGTATGTAAATTATTCTGTACGACCATAGCCAACATACCAGGAATATTGTTTGTTATAGCCTGTCTACTTATGACTATTAAGTAACATGTTATTCGAATCGTTTTTAGTTCACGGTGACGGCGTTGCCGGAGCACGTGTTGAAGAGTCTGAAGGAGGCGGAGGAGCGCACCATGGAGGACAGCTCTTCCTCCGACGATGACGGCGACGACGGTGACTACGACGACGAGGACTACGATGAGAGCGACGGGGAGGAGTTCGTTGCCGCGTAGTTTTCTTCCGCGTGCCCGCATGTCGCCGTGTACAGTTACTTTCCTGTTAACACACAGTTTTAGTGGTTAATTAAATTCTTTCGATAATCGTGGCTGCTTTTTGGGAATTAGAAGTTGACAAAACGGCGCACAAGACTCGCCATGCTTAGGGGTGCGTGTAGAAGCTGCCTCTCGTTGAATCAGGGTTGTGTACGTTAACATCCAGCGCATGGGTTATGCTGGAGGTAATTTTGTTGAGTGCTCAAATTAGCGTGTTTATTCGGAACCACAAAATCGATATTCAATTGGAGTAAATCAAGGCGATAGGTAGATGCCGGGATGTGTAGTTGGCGTGGGCGTCGCTAATTTCCGTGCTGTCTATCGATCGTCAAGCCGAACTGCCTTGAACCCTCATCGTGTTGTCTATCGATCGCCAAGCCGAACTCCCTTGAACCCTCACCGTGTCGTCTATCGATTGCCACGCCGAGCATCCGTGAACAGCCATCTGGTCGTGCAGATCACGAACCCCATTTCTATTGGCCACAAGTTAATTGCTCATAAACCGGATGAGTCATGTTCAGACGCCTCATATGAGTGTCCACGAGCAGTGGGAGTTGAAAGTACCCGCGTCTTTGCCGTCACCAATGATTTCGCGTGTTCGTCACAGAATGAGACGTCGTCCGGCGATTTGTATACTCGCGGCTTCAAGGAAACCGCGTCGCTATGAGACGCACACTTCAAGAAATCACTCTAGTCAGTTAGTGTAGTAAACGCTTCAGCGGTGATGGGTTTGCTAGTTTGATTAAAAACACTTGTTTGAACGAAAAGTAATTTAGCTTAAAGTCGCTGAACTGACTCATTTCAAGGTGATTTGCATTTGCATGTTCCCCCTCGAATTACCGCCTTCTACATCTGTTTGTTTTATTCGGTGCTTATTTGTGCGCATGCAACGCGATTGGACAAATCAGCGTCATTTCCTGTTCGAGTTGACCGAGCATTTGACCGTGTCACTGGTAGGGATATGAAGAATATCGTATCGGCATGCGTGACTAGGTTCACTAATTCACTTTCTACTACCTGTCAACTAATCAACAAGTTCTCCAATTTGACTTTTCCGCCTTGTTATTGGAATGGTTCAAGGGTCAATCTGATTGGACAGCACGCACGTGACTTACCTGTCCGTTAATGGCTGGCAAATCGATTATTTAAGTGTTCAGCACCGTGAACACTTAATGCAACTTAGCGATTTGTTGACTCGTGTTTTGTTCGAAGGCGTTGATGAGACGTAGTGATGATTTAGACTTAAAGATGTGGTTCTTTCGTGCTGTAAAATCAATGAGAACCACGAGAATTTCATCATTGATCGAATAAGATTTGTAGGAAAACAGTGTTTGTTTTGACAATTTCGTTTGACATGAAAAATGGACGAGAAAGTAGACTTGAACACGGGCTGACCCACACACCAATTCTGCATAATTTCTGGAAAAGAAGTTGATCGATTTTACAGAAACCGAGGTACTAGGAGTAGACCCTCGTAAACACATCGGTAACCAATCAAAATCCGTTGCTAATGAAACTGACCAACTCCCTGTACCCAATCAAATGGGGCCTTGAATAGTGTGTTTTGTGTGAATGCGTCTTCTCTGATCCCATTATAACCCGTTCTTAATTGAAGCGGTGAATAAAGAGCGAAGCAACTTGCATCCAAGTTTCAAAGAAAAGAAACTTCAAAATTCGCATTTGAAAAATTACAGAGAACATCACTGACCCTAAAACGCAGTAACCTTGGCAATTGTGAAATTCGCAGTTACACCGTAGGGCGTTCAAATGTGAAAATCAATGCATTTGAACCCAAACCCCACCCCCGCCATCAGCACGGGTCATAAAACGAGTGTTTAGTGCGGAGATATGATTGCGTTGGAGCATTAATGGCTTGTGGGGTCACGCGCGCCATGGGACTATTTAAAGACACGCATTTCCACCAACTGAGCACACATATGACCCACGGTGTGACACCAGGGGCTCGTTCACTCGAATTGGTTCGACTGGCACTAATTCGAGTCAACAGGGTCGTTGGTTAACACTCTTGACGTCAACCTCCACGCGGTTCACAGTTATCGCGACCATTTTGGTAAGTTTGGCTGCAGCTACCAACTATGCGTACTCAAGGTCGACAGCAGGCCTTGTAAACGGACCAGTAAACAAGAACCTTAGCCAATCGACTGAGTTCGTTGCAGACCGAATCACAAGGACAGTGTTCATGGATTGCTCGGAAATAATGATGACTCATTTCTGCTGCACGCTGACAGGTTGGTCTTTATTCGATGTAAAAGTCTTCGAATTTGACCATGGCTATGTAGAACTGCCTTAGTTTACGACGACAGAACTAAGCCAAAATTGTCAAACACAAGAACCCTCGTGAGCCAGAAGAGCCAAAATTGTAGGTGCGATTTGTTTTTTACGATTTTAGTTTACAAGATGCTGGAATCAATGGCACAACAATTAAAGCGAAATATAACTCTGTACTAAAATACTTATAAGTAGAACTTTACGCCGACTTTTGGAAGCAGCGCAAATGCCATGGTGAAATATCAAGATGCCGACGTGCTAGCCATAATATTTTTTAACACTGTGATCATTGGGTCACAAACTTATATCACTGTTGATGTATCGCCCCTTGTAATAATCAACAGATTTTTAAAAAATGTTGCATAAGTCTGAAATGTTAACTGCAAACTTAGAACTAGAAAATAACTCTAAAAAACGAATCACTAGTGGATCATACTAGAATACTTTTTAATTGTTTTTTAAGCATTAAAAAACGCAAGCCAGATGGTAGCCTCGCGTGGCGTGTACCAAATATGTGTAGACCTGATAACAAACATTTTGGTTTGTTATTAAAAGCTGACTGCTGTAAATGGTAAAATTTGTCCTAAGGTAACATCGTCTTTAATGGAATTTACAAAAACTTTATTCGCTATACACGAAATAGAAATATATTTCCGAAATTCAGCCAATTTTTTTCAAAAACTCCAAGAAAAAAGATTTAAAAGAGCGGCTACACGACCATTAACATTCACGGCTTTCAAAAATTCTTGTGATGATATAACGTGTACGAGTTGACTAATGCGGTATAAATTGGCCACATGTAATAGTAGTCCTAAAAACATCCTAGAATTCAAGGGACAAGAATATTAACAAATTGATGGCGTCATTCAAATAACGGATTTTAACGTTTTATCGGATTTTGCAAATAATTGTCGATCAACAAACCTCGTATATAACTTGCTGACGCTACAAAAGTATGAATTTTAAAGCGCACTGTTCAGGTTACAAGAGAGATCTAGCCAAGGTTTAGCAAATCACGCAACTTACTAAGAACCGAGTGATTGAGAATATAGAAATTAGGAACATTAGCATATTTAATTAATCATAGTGAGACAACAAGAATCTTGCGCCAATTATTTTGAAATTATTATGTACAATACAAAAATATACAGAAAGCATAGTTGAGAACGGGTTGTTTTACGGCGTCTAATTAAACAACAAGTAATACTTCGCGACAAATGCCTTACAAATTAAAAATTATTTGAAAAACACTAACATCAACGAAAACGAAGTGTAGCTGGCTAAAAAAAAATTAAAATCTTTTAAGCAAATCCTGTGGCAACAAGTTACGAATGTTTAAAATTTTTCAGGTAATATAAGTCAGTTGGAAAAACTGAAAGGTCATGGTAAAATACAATAACTTTCATGCATACCAGGCAAGAGCTTTTTTTGATCTGCTTCACGATTTCCTTATGAGCCCTTTAAATCACTTGTGCTTATCGAGGACTTAGGCTAGCAAAAAAAACCAGCGAAACAAATGATGTTAGCTAATGCATTACTAAAGACACACACATGATGGTCTTTAATTTGACTTGTTGGTTTTTTGTGAAATCAATAGATGTTTGTAATATGTTAATGCTAAATGAAAGTTGTATTTTCTTAATAGTACCTCCTATATAGAGATTAGAACGTGTTTAATGATTTGACACATGTTTTTTGATTTAAATAGCATGGCATATTAGATTAAAAACTGACTTTCTGAAGGCTTGTTTTAGTCGATCAAATAAACTGCACAATTACGCGTTTTTACAATGCATTCTCTCACATTCCGTGTATTCAATGCCTATTTTGGGTAATCTATCCTGCGCTTTGGTTCCAACTTGCGATGAAAAAATTCACTTCACACCAATTGTCAGAGCATACTTAACAGAGCAGCTTGGTGAGGAACCGAAACATGTAGAAATACTTGCAATAAGCTCAGAGGTTGTTGATGGAACAAATTACTTCCTAAAGGTAACACGTATTTGACGCAATTGCGGTTTTCAGGTAAAACATGATGACGGCATCTGGCACATACGGCTGCATCAGGCTCTTTTAAATGACGGCGGCGTACTAAGCGTTCATAGCCACCAGAAAGCATCGTATGAAGAACAACTAACCTATTTTTAGCCCAGTAGTTGCCCTAAATGTCTGTCACAGTTGACTTGATTTTTTTTGATAACTAAATCTTTTGTTTATTTCTTTTTTTGCTAGTTATACTTAAATATATTTATTATCATTGATTGTGTCTCTGCTTAGCAGAAATTTTTGTGTCCCGAGTTTACTTCTATATGTTTAGTTTTCATTAATCTGCACTGCAATCAGTAGGGCTAAAAATCGAGTCATTTCTGCTCTTAAAAAGGTGTTTGAGACTTGGGTTTAGCTGGTTGAAATGATGACTTGATTTATGTCTTATATTTTGGCAATCTTCTTTACTGTCTTCGTAGAAAGTGACCTAGCCGCTCTTACTTGCACAAGCAAGGGACATAATTTACAAAATGTAGACACCATAAGTGCACTTTTTCCAGATTTTTTTGTTCTTCTCACTTTTCTTAAGAATCAGCGTCAATAAGCACTTTCTTTGCAAATTATGCAGGCGACTGCCTTGATTACCCCATCCAGATTCACGTTTGACAAATTCAGTCATAAAAAGTACTTGTGAGAGCGCATGATGCAATTTGGGACGATCGTCTTGAGCAAACCAGTGATTATTTATCGCGCAACATATGGTTTCCACGAAGGCGATTGATGATTGTCATACTTTTAAATTCTAACTTTGATTTTTATACTCAATAACTATCCTTTGCACCAGTCTTTCTAAATACACACAGAAATATTTTTTCCCAAAATGTACTCATAACTGTCACAAGCACACTCTAGCATGTTTGAATACGTATATATTTATATTTAGTAATACGGTTTAAATATTTACAACTTTATTTCTCACGTTGCATCTTAAGTAAGTTTTGCGCTATGTTTGAATGAAAGGATGCAAGAACTACGAGGATTGTTTTGGCGACCACTGTTATTAAGTGCGCCTCAACAAATAGTAATTCTTACATTCTTAAGTCGAATCTCAAGTAATGCAGCTCATCTGGTAGTTTACCTAGCCCAATGTGACGGACAAGGTGAATAATTTCATCACGCTGACAATGTCCAAGGGGCAAATTTTTCAGTGAACTTTCCTCACATTTTGTAGCAGAGTGCTAACAGTGAACCAGAGTCACTGGCGTATGTAAGAACAAACTTTGCTGCATGCATCAGCAATCCAGCCTTATCAACTTTTAGCTTCAGTATTTTGCATCGATAAATAGAAATTCAGTCGTATACCGCCGACTAAATGCCAAAATGTCGGTAAAT